AATTATTTTAGTACCGTGTCAAAAGTTTCCCAACTGCACTGCATGAATGCACTAATTATCTTCCTCACCCCTCTCTCCCTAACCAAAGATATTCAAAGATCGGGTAAATAAATCCAGAATTTGGCTCCACAACCCCCACACTGAAGATCAACAGCAACTATAACAAGTCATTTCCCTTTCCATAGAGTAAATACACAGAAACTGAACTATATCCATACACAGAAATACACAAGTTAATCTCATCTCCCTCCATTCTCATTTCACCTCCTTCAACTTTAACCTTGCTCTCTTTTACCTCCTGCCAGCATCCTCAGAGTTCAACATTTAAAAAGGAGAGAAAAAGACAAGACCATCTAAGTCTTTCTACCTTATTTGTTTTAAACTGTAAAGCACAAAAAGGACTGGATTTTATTAATATATTTCCTTCTTCTCAAAATTTCCTTTAAAAGGAAGAGAATGAGAAAAGGAAAGAAATATGATCAGAAATAGGATGCACAATGGCACATTAGTGATTATTAAATTAGCTCTCATCCCTAAGTTTCTAAATTCTTTATGACAATGGTAAATACTCAACTGACATGAAACTGACATTTTGCAGATAAGATTATGGTTTCTGAGAGAATAAAAACTGGGATCTCAAGATGTGAAAATTAAAAAGCCTTCTTTTCCTGAAATGATGTTGCTCCCTTATAAAATTCTCAATAATTCACTCCCCGCAAAGTTGCAGGGTACCTTTAAAAACTGCTCTCCTGGGCTATTCAAGTTATGGTTTATTGATTTTGGGTGAGATCACTTTGCATTGACCCTGTCCACTCTACTACCCTCAAAATCTTGCATAAATACATGTGTACATTAATAATTAAAAAGAAGTAAAGGGCAATAAATGAGATACTGGGTCCAAAGAAGAAAAAGGAATGCCAGGAACTTGGATTTAAAATACTAAAAAGTTTAGGCATCTCTGAAATTATAATGTAAATATAAAAAAAAATAAGATAGGAAACTGATTAATTTCCAAACATCTGATTTCCAATTTTCCCAGACAATAAAAACATTCTGTTTCATGCAAGAAAAAACCCTTTGCTGACTGAGAACAATACAATGAAGGCAATTATAAAAACAAAGTAAAAAATTAGGGGCAAAAGAACAAAATATGATGGCTAGGCAAACACTATGCAAAAAAGCCAGGTTTGTGACCATCAACTGGCTTGTGGTGTTCAGCAGCTCTGGTCTCCAATGACCCTGCAGAACTCTTGCTAATACACAAGGGAAAAAATTCTGGTATATGAATAAATCTTCAAAATTTGAGAGCAACACAAGTTTTATTTTACTCGAGATCACAATGGGTTACTTTGCTAACCATCTTGACTTAAAAGCTAACAACATCTGTTAGGCACTACAAATGATAGAAATGTAGACATTCCATAGGAAAATAAATACTTCCTCTTGATCTCTCTACTCTTACCTCTGCACAATTACACCCTATCATGTCATCAACATTCGACCCTGAAGTTTAAATCTTATCTGATCTACTAATTTCCTCTCTAATCTAAGCAGAATTTGTTTTGCTGACCCCAAATAAAATCATCTTATTTCTCGCTGGAATTCATTTTTATTCTTTTATTTCCCACTGTCCTAACTGTAACTCTTCTTCCAACACTATCCTCTTTTATATCTTAACTCATCTTTGTTCTGCCCTGACCCATGGTGATTAATTAGGTTTTTTGTCATTTTCTCTTTTTTTTTTTGGTGAGGGGGCCAAAAACAACATTGCCAATTAAAAAATTTTTAAGCATATATAATAAAGCCAATGGTTGTCAAAGCATTTTGTCTTTGTCTCATACATTTTTTAAAAATCCAATTTGTGGTACAATGACTCTGAAAAGTTAATAGAGGACAATTATTACCCCCTTTTACAGATGAAAAAACTGAATTGCAAAGAGGCTGACTACGCAAGACAAAAGAGCAGGAGCAGAACTGGACCACAGTTTTAGTCATCTGGCTTCTGGGATATATTATGTCCATCGGATCACAAATCTCCATGATAAAATTTTTTTAAGATTTCTTTATTTAAGTAATCTCTACACCCAACGTGGGGCTGGAACTCACAACCCTGAGATCAAGAGTTGCATGCTCTTCTGACTGAGCCAGCCAGGTGCCACAATAAACCGAATTTTTATACTATGATGCTACAGAAGAAAAATGTTAGACGCTTTTACATTAATTGGCCATTTCTACCAGAAGTCAAATCCAGAGCTCACTTCTGCTGGACTAAATTAAGCTCGATATTCTCATAACAACACAAAATATACAGAATTTTGTAATCTACACAGTGTTCTTCACAAGAATAGTCTAAATAAGCATAGTCAAATGTAATACGAAATACTCTAAAAATTTTCTGAAATTAGAGTGCAATTTATAATAAATCATGAACTTGGACTAGGATTTTACCTCAAATTTAAAATTTATTAGAAAAATAACGTTTAAACAAAATCTCTTTAAAGTATAAAGAGGTTTCCCAGAAAAAGGGAAAGTTACACACAAAAAAGTTAATCTTAGGGAGAAAAATGTTCTTGTTTCAAATATTAAAAAATAGTTTAAATGTATGTAGTGTTTAGTTTTCAACAACACTACATGAAATGGTTTTCAATTATTACTTAGTTACATACTTACCCAAGTGTCCCTTTCCCTGACATGGGAGGGCTGGGGGGTTTCTGAGTTGGAGGTGTCGTACGTGGCAGCCCACCTATCTTCATATTCTGGGTACTCACCTAAAAAAATGTTGAGGAACAATCAAAACTTGTATGTAGTGAAACAAAATATCACTTGTGGGAAATAATGTTATGCTATTTAACAAAGGAGGGTAAGGTTTAAAGAGGAAAAAAAAAAATTAGAGGCCATGCATTTCATATGCAATTTCTACTCTACTGTTATTCTACAGTTGTACTCAAAGGACTCTTCCTAACATGAGATTTTCAAATGACTGTAAACATAATTATATGCAAAGACTGTATTTGCCATTAGGCCATCACACCAACAGATCACTGGTTAGATTATTTGATAATAAATTTAATTGAAATTCAATAGGATAACTATAAGAACTTTAGTTTTAGTAAAGAGAAACTCAAAAACAATGCCTTTAAACAATTCCTTTTTTAGATGGCAATTATTAAAAAAAAAACACATTTCCCAATAAAATATGCACTATAGTTTTGATCCACTGTAACTAGAGAATATAAAATAGTTAAATTGTGTGATATACCAAAAAAATTTTCAGTTTTTAAAATAGTGGATCAGCCTTACAATTCAGATTTCTTTAATGTTCTCTTATTAAGGCATCACCCACCTGAAACCTGCCAGAAGTTAAGGCATGTTCCTAAACCTCTGAACTAGAAAGTTAGGGCTGAGGTATCCCATTCAATTATGAGCAATACAGGGGCCACTGGCAATGTCCTAGTTTCACTGGGAATTAGACCCACTCAGGCCCAAAATAAAGATTATGGGAAAGATGTAACAGAGTCCTAAATCAGAGCTGGGCCATTACTCCTCACTATTCTATCTCTAACTTAAAATGCAAGGGTAGGAGAGTAGTGTAATCTGGGAACAACTGATGGCACCAAAGAAGTATATCAGAACTTATACAGAAAGCTCTAGAAATCTGGATGTCTTAAAGGGGTAAGAGAAGTCATTCACAAATATAGTTCAAATGCAATCTCAAATTGTTTGAGATTACCAATGGGTCAGAGTAAATGGTCAACATATAGGTTCATACGTGACCCTATTTTAAGCCCCTAATATTCTGGATTGCCAAACACTTCAAAAAAAAAAGGGGGGGGGGCGGGTCTTAACTTTTCTAACAAGAATATATCTGGAGTATTCAAATTATACTTATAAAATGAAACTGCAAGACAGTACACCATTGAAATCAGAATACATTTATAATTGTAATTTCAAAATATAAATTTTAAGAAAACAAATCATAATCATATACAGAGTATTGAAGCTGTCAAAAGTAACTCTGGCTTAAATGAAATTTTTAAAACTCCTAAAATACTACTTGTTATCTGAATAGGCAAGAAATAATATATCCAGAAACAAACTCTTCAAATGAATAGCCCAGTGAACAAGTTGTGTGTGATGTTAAAACAATCTTTAATGACAAATGATACCTTTCAGATGTCAATATTTTTAAAGTGAAGCATTTATCTGAAATCCTTTTATTGTTACTTTTAAACAATAAATACAAAACAAACCAGTTATCAAGAAGGAATAAAGATTAACTTCTCCTTGTTCTCCCCCTCATTAATAAGCAGAGGGTATGCTAATCATATCTTCAAATGAAAATGCCAGAAAAAGTTTTGAAAAAAATCAATCCACATTTGGGGAAAATTTTAGGAGTAATATGACGAGTAACCAGTAGCTTTTCAAACTGTAATCTTCATTTATGATACCAGAAGATTTTTTATAAGTAGTAACCAAAGTCCTTTAAGCTCAACCTTAAACAACATAAAACCCAAAGTTACTTTAAGTGACAAGGGAGAAGTAGGTGAGCCAACACTAAACTACATCAATTTGCTAGAAACAGGAAGGAAAAGGAGCAGGGACAGAAAAAGTAAAAGAGAATTTTATTCTATACATGGAATAGCTAAAATACTTGAAAACAGCTTTCCAACTTTGATTCAATGTTTTGGTATCTGAGGTGTTTTTGTTTAAATTGCAGTATCTTCTAGAAATCTTTTAATCAATTAAAAAATATAAAATAAACAATCTATAAATTAAAATCTGATGGACATTTCCATAAACAAAACTTGATACATTTTATGATCTGTAGGATCATCAAATGACTGTATCTGCTTGGTTAATGGAGTTTGGATAAGTAACTTAAATCACTGAAGAAACCAAAGAGGTCCTGCAGAATGTCCAAAAAATCTGTAATTTTATACATCACTGATACTGTACCTTTATATTAAGCTAAAAGAGTTTTTCAATATTTCTTCAAGGTGGTTTTCCTTTGTGAAAAATGCTTCTATGCTAAGTAAAACAATAAATATGCTATGCAGAATATGAATACTGGGGGGCACCTAGGTGGTGCAATCAGTTGAGCATCCCACTCTTGATTTCGGCTCAGGTCATGATCTCTCAGGGTCGTGGGCTCGTGGAACTCTGCACTCAGTAGGGAGTCTGCTTCTCTCCGCCCCCCCTTTCCCTCTGCTCCCACTCCTGTTTGTGCTCTCTCTCTCTAATATATAAATCTTAAAAATATATATATATAAATATTGCCATCTAGTTTGAGGAAAAGGGAAAAGAACAGGAATAACTGCCAAATAAAACTTAATTTGTTTATCATAGGTAGGATTTGTATTATAATTAAACTTAAGAAAGTATATTTCAAATATAAAATCATTTGATAAAAAAGTTTACTGGATAGCTGCCATGGTCTTAAACACTATTTTGAGGGAAGTTTATGGGGAGACAACATTTCCTCACAAGCAGCAAAACACAGGAGGACTAAACTGTATGGTGAAGGGGACCTCAAGGGAGAGAGACCAAGAGACAGAGACAGAGAAAGAGAGAACACACCATGAGGTCGGGACAAAGAAAACCCACTCAATAACAGCAATTCCACATGAAACTTTAAACAAATTGTAAACATAACCCGAACTATCATCATACATTAACATGTAGTTAATGGTCCTGAACCATCAGTGGGATTGCTCATCATACTTTCCAAAGTTTTATTTGGGAATCAGAATGAAGTTTGGTGGCTGACTGCAACAATCATTCAATTATGTGGGTATTTTTTGTTTCCATAAAGGGGAAAGTCATTATTGAGAGCTAAGTAAAGCAGGTATTAAGTATAAGGAGGAACAGTAGGAAACACCCCCCCGCCCTGCTTCTTTTCCTACCAAAAAAAAAAAAAAACCCTCGAAGCAGAAGAAATATTTCATTTAAGTGATAAAGCTCAAATACTTTGCCACTAGCCTGTGACTAAGGAATGCAGATAAAACTGGAGATAGAAAAGTTCCTTTATGTTCAAAGAGTGGTCCTATTTCCGAGGCTTTGGAGATCTCTACAACTAGCACCAAGCATCAGGCCCATTCTTATGCCTTAATATTTTTTCTACAATGCTCCTACCTTTCTTGCTCCATGCTTTTTTGGTACATTCAATACCTCCTTGAACCTTGATATATCATAATATAATGTTCATTAGAAAGCTCAGTGCTTTCTAGTACCCTGTGAACTTCAGTATTTTTTATAAAGCTGGCTGGCCAGGTATCTCTAGTTCACAAAGGACATCACTTCTGCTATGAAGAAATCTCCCACTGACATATGACCTGCTATGATAAAATAGTGGCAGACACGTTCTAAAATGGTATCTGTGGTATATCCCTCATTTATCAACCACTTATCACCTACCAGACTACGAGGTACAAGGGTAAAGAAATATGAAAACTAAGGGAGACATTTGTTGGGGGTGGAACGGGACACAAAGGCCTATAAAATGATTCGTCTGCTTTTAAGGAACTTACAGCATTTTGGAATAAGACTCCTATGTTTTAAGCAAAAAGGAATGTCTACAAATTATACAGAAATCTCCAAAAAAGAAGTATCAATATGAGAAGGAAAAACTACAGAAAGGTTTAGAGAAAAATCTAAGCTGGACTGTTGTTTAAAAAAAAGAGCAGGATTTCACTACACAGAGAGAAGAGGACTATGTATAGTCTGTATCTGGATGTGGAGTAGTGAGGATGGGCAGAAGCTGTGGTCAGGCACCTCTGGGCCTTCATTCACTGTCCAGTATTATTTCCAGGACATAATTCTTGGGCTTCCTAGAGGCTCTATCCCTCTCCTCAGGGGATATATGTTCCTACTTCAATTCCCAGGGCTAACAGGAAAAGGACCAGCAGATCTTTTGAGGGAAATCAAAGCTGTAATCTGGAGTTCGACTACGAATTCAGAAGGGGTAAAATTTTTAGTAAGAGGAAGACAAAAAGCCTAAGGTACTAAGAGTCCTGAAATAATCCAATACAGATATAAGGGAATAAAAGAGTAGGAATAAGGGGGAAGAGAGGTAAAGAAAGAAGGACAAGAGGAATAAAGATGAGCAAATTTGTTTGATTTTAAAAATACTTTGTGACAACCGGCCTTTGCCAAAATAGAATTGGTGGCTTAAGATTGGAATAGGCAAAACCAGATGGGTCTCCCAAGGGTTGCTGCTTTGGAGTTTTTCCTCCAAATAATGTGTCAGATAAATGCTCAAGAGTGAACCCTCAGCTGCATGTGAAAGCTGGAAATATGAGAAGCAATTTATCATCCTTCTGTAGAGAATGACAAACACTGTTAAAGAACACACTCGAGTAAAAAACTAAAGCCATTTTTTACACAGGGTTAAGTTAAGGATCTTAAAGATCCCAAGCAAAATTTTCAAAAGTGTTATATTCTTAATGTGTTAGTTGTAAAACAAATCCTTAACCCCTCCTCATTAATTATTTAGAATCTGCTTGCACAACATATTCACCTGAAATAAATACTACACTAACAGATTAGTAGTCCTTACTGTTTTTTATTAAACTAATATATTTATTTAAAAAGTACTAAAGCTTAGCTTCATGAGGGACAACTTCACTGCTTTCAAAAGAAAAATCCATTTCAAATAAAGGTATCCCAGTTCAAGGTAAATTCCATTTTTCTATGGCCTCAGGTACATATGAAAACACTTCCAATATGGCATTCCACCCTTTAGCTTTTTATGCCTTTTGTTGTAAAAATATCACCACATTGTTTTCAAAGTTCTGATGAATTAAACTCTACAATTTGTTCTCCCCAGTCAACTAAAGAAAAAAATAACCTAAATTTCAGATGAAAAGGACCATGAACCACCATGAGAACATGCTATATAAAATGTTAAAAATTCAACTTTTAGTATGGAGGATTCTTCTAAGTCAAATCCCTTGTGTATGGCCTCAAAGTGTGATCTTTGTTTAGAGTCTGCCTGAGAGGCATCAAAAGTCTGACAGCAACAAGAGCAAACACAGAGTTCATAGAGAACTGAGGAAATCAAAGTAGCAGATAATCCTACCAACAAACATCAGGAGACCTCTAGGGCACTTGATATAATCCACAGGTCTCCAAGATCAGTTGGAAACCACTGCACTAGTTTACTATCTGCAGTCCCTTCCAACTATAACATTTCCTCTTTAATTCTATTTTCTACTTTAATGTATTAAATTATTCCATTAATAACCCTTCCAAAACCACTCATGTTTCAATACCAGAATAAAAAGAGAAATTGTTACATGCTGAACATTTTTTTTAGGATTTTATTTATTTATTTGAGATAGACAGAGATAGCGAGAGCAGGAACACAAGCAGGGGGAGTGGGAGAGGGAGAAGCATGCTTCCCGCCCAGCAGGGAGCCTGATGCGGGGCTCGATCCCAGAACCCTGGGATCATGACCTGAGCCGAAGGCAGAAGCTTAATGACTGAGCCACCCAGGCCCCCTACGCTGAACATTTTTTTCACTCTACTTTGTTTTGGTTCACTTAAAATTATTAACCATGTGCTACAAGTTTACAGAGAAGACAGACATTCACAAGGAGGACAGGAAGAAAGAAAAGACAGAGCACTGGTGCATTCTAGCTTCTAGGATGAATTCAGGGTACTCTTCTTACCAGGCAACTCTACCCAGATATTGCAGAAACACCTACATAGAGCCACAGTACTCACGAGTGAAGCTTTCTGGTACACACAGCAAAGACGTTAAGGAATCTAATACAAGTGTGATATTTTCTTGCTTTCTAGGGACTTCTCTCATTTCCTACTCATTTTGGTCTATCTCCCACCTGGAACAGATCCTGAATCCACGAAGGTCAAGAAGGAATCATAGTAGAGTTTGGAGGAAATATCATGGGATAGTAGCTTAAGCAAGCTGGTCTAAACTTAAATTAAGGGGAAAAGAATTGGTCCATTTCTGTGTTTTTCCTTCAGGTAATCTTTCTGTGCACTTTTATCACATTGGAGAAAACACATCAATAGCTAAAATTGGAATATAGTATTTACAGGAAAACAGCCAAGGTAGTCACACACTGCTTTGGGTCTAGTTCTTTGTATTTAATGCAGAAGGAATATCCTCACAATTCCACATGCCCCACTCACCAAGACTGAGGGCTTGGACCCAACATTCTACTCAGTAACAAGTTTATTTGCTTGACTCCTCTAGTCATATCTCTCTACCAGGATCTGTTGAAATGTCTGTGGCCATGGTTAGTATTAGTAGCTAATGATTCAGACCTCAGTTATCCTCTTGTTACCACTTTCTATACTGAAGACATGGCAAATAACAGGGCTTTGGAAAGAAAATGTATTTGAAAAGAAATTATAAAGTTCAGCTAAGAAAATAAGAACAAAAAGGAAATACATGCTCAGTTTGGTGAAATAATTTTAGCAACCTTCTATTTAAACGCTTCTTGAATACACTTGAATGTCTTTTACCATTAATTCTCCAAAATACTAAAATGTGAAAAAACAAACCCTAAAGTGTTACTAAAACAAATATTTCTCTAATTCTTAATGTGTATTTTGTTAAACACTCATGAACTTCTGATGTTTTGATATAATTAATATTCAGCTAGTAAAACGCTTAGAGTGAGTTTATATTGAAATATATATCTTATATAGCAATTTGGAAAAGAGAAACTAATTTTGCTTTTTGCAAAATACATGATACTGCAACTTAAAAAAAAAACTGTAACACTGAGTATTTTCCACTTCTCAATTTCTTTACATTGAATAAGAGTCAAGAGATAATGACATACCGGCCACAAGGTGTATAATAAAGCACACCATTTATAGAATAAAAAGGCTATTACACAGGGGGAGGGTTAAATAAAGCACATTAATTGGCCCTCCAATCCATAAAATAAATTCTACATTTACAAAAGTCCACCTAATTTTACTTCATAATGACATTTTATGATAGGGTAACTTATATTTTAGTTTCACAAAATATATTAACATTGCAAAATAAGCATTTATTCAAAAACATTTATTAAGCACCTAATGTATGCATCAGGCACTGTTTTAGGCACACAGGACAGGGTGGTGAACAAAACAGACAAAAAATCTGCCCTCACAGAACATGAAGACACACCACAGAGTTGCATGACAAAAATTTTTAAAAATTAAAAAGAGGAATTATTTGTTGATTTTAGAAGGCCAAGTGCCAAATATCTCTTCACTCCCCATATGCAATATTCTACATAAGAACAAAGAATGGAAATCCAGCCCTGGAATCTCTTACCTTAAATCTAAGCAACCACTTAATGCATAAATGGAGCAAATAAAAGAGGTAAGGAAAAAAAGCATTGAAAGGTTAGTTGGAACTTCAGGATGTGAAGAGAAAGGAAAAAACAAAGAAAAAACAAGTTAAGCATTCAGCATTAAAAAATAATGTTTCAGTAGATCATAGAAAGAGTGGTCAAAGCAGAATGTGTCATGAACAGGAGGGTTTTTTTGATGAAATTATATGACATTGTTTTATTCAAAAACTTAACTTTATTAAAGATTTCTTCAAATAGTGACCCCTAAACACTAAAAGTCCAAATAACAAGAAAGACTACAGAGTCCCAAAAGAACAACACTTTACTTGAATTAAGAAAGAATTGGAGTGGGAAGGAAATCATGTGTTTATTATATAAGTGGACAAGCACAAATAATTATGTTTTATACTCTAAGTACCTTTTGTAATTAGATTCTGGCATTACCCTAAAATCTTCTATTAGCAGTTATTAGCCTTGAATAAATCTCAAAATTATAAAATTTTAAATATTTTATAAAATTAAATATCAAATTGCAAATAGTGCTTATATCAAAATTCTAAGAAAAAATTTTTTTTAAAGTTTACACTGTATGTTTTCTTTTACCTAGATCTACATTAAATTTACATTTAACTGATTTCTAGCCATAGTAGTAGGGTATTTTTTTTAGTTTAAATTTGCTTATATAGACATACATCAACTGTATAAACTATAGTTTCTCACGTATGTAAATATTTATTCTAAGTCACATTTGATAAGTCATTGCCTTTCAAATCACGGATTAAGATGAAAGCTTTAAGTAATTTAATACTTAGAGGAAGCTCCAAATAGTTTAAGTATAAATACCAATGTAAATGAAATTTATATGCACCTCAGTTTTGATCATGGCACTACACATATACAGCAGACACTCTAATACATTTTAAAAAAATAGCCAAAATATATAATGGCTACATACTCAAAAGCAGTGGAAATATTAATTCACATATTACCTTTATCTACACTATTCTCACCCAAAATGTTAAGGTAAAATTATTTTAGAACGTTTCAAAGCACATGATTGTTTATACATGTTCCTTCTGAAAATGCGAAAGCTTTGTTGATAAATGTTTGAGATAAGGTAGATACTTTAAGAACATGCTGAGTAATTTTTTAATCAGTCATATTAAATCATTAAAAGATTAGAAAAATTAGACCACACTTATTTGCCCGATCTATATGAGGTAGTCTCATAACTGGTTAAGTAAATGCAGTTCATTTAAAGATGGCTGTTTAAAACCTGAAAACACAGCACTAAGAAGCAGCAAGAAGGATAAAATAGTTATAGCAGCAAGGAATCTTCAGAACCACAACTGGGCCAAAACTTGGGCCTCCAGGAAAGAAAAGACAAAAGCTTAATTTTCTAAAGAGTTAGTTCCATTATGGACTATTGTTTTTAAAAGGTTGACAAAAATTATACTTACCTTTACTCCGTGTCCAATATCATCTAGAATTGTATAGTCAATAGGTTTTCTAATATAACGAACTGGTCGTTCAAGATTGGCTGGAGCAATAATCTTATGTGTCCTTGAAGTGTTTTTATTGGTAGTCAAAATACCGATCTCTCTTCTTGCAACTTTCTCTTTATGAATATCAACGGTCTGCAAAATATAATATAAACACAACACAAAAATGTATAGCTTTATTGCCCAGAAAAATCAAAATATAAATGCTCATAGATTCAACATAATTATTCATATACTTAACCCCAACTGCTAAATTTTGTCCTTTTTGGACCTACTGGCTTTCTCCATTCTTAGGCTAAAACAAGGGTTGGCAAATCATGGCTGGCAGACCAAATCTGGCCCACAACCTGTTTTTAACAACCTGAAGTGGTTTTTTGTTTTGTTTTTTACAACCCAGGAGTAGTGTTTACATGTTTTAATGGTTTTTAAAAGTCAGAAGAAAAATAATGTCATGACATGTGAAAATTAGACAGACTTCAAATTTCAGTTTCTATAAATAAAATTTTACTGGACCACAGCTATTCTACTTGTTACATATTTTCACACTACAAGGGCAGAGATGAGTAGTTAAAACAAAGACTGCATGGCCTGCAAAACCTAAAATATTTCTTAGCTGGGCCTTTACAGAAGTGTGCCAACCCTTGGGTTAAAGAATGCTAATTTTTTCCCATCCATTAATATTTAAACTAACATAATGATAAAGAAAGCCCCAGGTATTAATTTGGTTACAATTTAAAATAACCTGTAAGTATAATTTCCATTGGTGTTCAAATGCCTTTTTATTTACAAAAAAAAAAAAAGGAGAGAGAGGCCTAAATTATAAAAATAGTCGGGGTGCCTGGGTGGCTCAGTCATTAAGCATCTGCCTTTGGCTCAGGTCATGATCCCAGGGTCCTATGATC